AAGATTAGAGCAACTGAAGTCATTTTAAAGTGACTGAGTGCTTTACCTTTTAGGGTAAATGTAAGAGTACCAAAACAGGCTGGCTGAACATAAGAGTACTGAAAACTACAGAAACATTTCCACTTGCCAGCCTTTGCTGCGACCTTCAGGACGACCCACCTGGAAGATGGAAAACAAGTGCTTTCGTCCTACCATATCTGAGATCAAATTTGTGAGTCTTCACTTCTAAGTCTAAGCAGTACCAGTTCTTTGAGGCTTCCCAAGAGGAAAGAGGATGCATATCTTGTGGAGAGGAAGAAGCAGAGTGTAACCATCGATGCCGTTGCTAAGCCACACTGGGGGAGGATGGAGGCTGTCGTGATAGGCAGGATGAAGCCAAAACAGAGTGGGACCACAGGCTGGCCACACACCCTCTTTCCATCAGGGAGCAATCAGAGAGCATCCTTTGATTTGAAAACATTAAGCAGCTCAAATGTAATTAAGAAATTTAGCCTGGTATGAATATGTAATGTACACACTGCTTTGCAGACGCCTTCTTCCTCCGACAGGCTTGTGCCGACTTTCATTTGGAAGAAAGCCATTTTCATACAAAGGTAACCAAGAGTGACAGGATATAGGAAGCCTACCTCATTTATCTTCTGTGAACTTTAAAGAAAAAATCAGTTAATTGCTTTTCTAGGAAGCTGTTTTATGAAATCAAGGTGCTTTATCTTTCTGCTCTTATTTGTGGTATAAATGGTGATTTTAAAATGCCCGTCATGAAAATGCTATGATTAATCAATACATCTTAAGGGATTTAATGACTTCTTTTAAAAACAGAAAGCTGATCAACCAAAAACGGTCAGTGTGTTCTTGTAAATGAATTATCAACCACTAAGAAAACTCCTAACATACAGTCTACTAAATGATATTCAAATATAGGTGTCTCTCTCCCCGGAGAGGGGCAATAGTCACGGGCTTCCTGACTTTGCAAACGCGTTCTTTTCCCAGCCACTCAAGCCCTCTGCAAGAGCAGTGTAAGTTACTGCCATTTATTAAATTAATAGCAAACAGAAACTAAAACGTGAATGTTTTAGAATGCCACCACTGAAGCTGTAGAGTGCCAAACAAACTGATTTCATAGACTTAGGCTCATATTTTGTCTCCACTGCACTACATATTAGGCTTTTCTATAGCACTGCCCAAATTTTGTTTTGCCTACAGCACCTAGGATAAAAATATGTATTTTTTAATTCTACCAACTTTGAGACTAATATGAAGCACACTTTTCCAATCTGAAATTAGATAATTTCACCTCTTATTTCAAATAACAGTGTCTTATTAGCCCATGAGCCGAAGACAGGCACTGTGAAACTAATGAAGCATAAGCTTCAGGGGCTCTGGAGTCAAGGTTCCTCCCAAGGTCCCAAGAGGAGCCCCAGTAATGTGTTTTTGCAAATATTTCAAGTGTAAAATATTTTCCTATTCTTTTTTTTTTCCTAAACAGGACCTCTAAGACAGTACAAATGTTAGGTCTCACAACCTATATTTGCCCCCTCTAGGCTAACAGTGAATTACATGCTCCGTGTTAAGGGCAAGTATTAATTGTGTATGTGTGTGCAGGAGACAAAAAAATAATTCACTTCCACCAGAAATAAGATTCAGAGTGCCTGCCTTAGAACACCCCAGGACGCCTGCCTCAGCCATTCCTCAAGGCTCCTGGCTCCTACAGGACCACCCTTCCAAGTGGCACCCAGGGAGGGCTCACTTAACGAGGGGGAGCATCAGGAGTGAAAGTCTTGGCTATAACAACAAAAATATGTTTTTCATTAAACACAAAACTGAGCTGGGAACAGCCAGCTGAGAGGCAGGTGTATCAGTGAAGGAAGTCCCTTGAGCTCTCTCACTTCCACATCAAACTGCACTGAAATTTCTCTGCACTAATTACCTATTATTGAAGATGAAAGAATGGTAACAAATAATTCGCCACGGCAGCAGATAGGGTGCACATGTTGGAAAGAATGTAGAATTTACCAAGTGTAAAATCAGACAAGAGAGATTCTCAAATTCTCAATTTTTAAAAGCAACAAAGAAGTTTTTCTATTCTAAGGATTATGAAGTTAAGGGAATTTTCCTAGGGCTAGAAGCCCAATTTTCAATTTAGTTTGGACTATAAGTGAGAGAAATGGCAAATTAAAAGTGAAGTGCTGGAATCTCCTTCATTTCTTGGAGGCAGAGATCAGGTTTTAAAACATTTTTTTTTTTTAAATCTCTCACACCACATTCCACCTAGCTATTGATTTGCTTTTCTTATGAGGAATGGCCCTTCCCAGTACCATACATATAGTTATATTTTCACTTCCCTGGTTTTCGTGTCATTTTTACCCAACACTTCTTTTGAGTCTCCAAATTCTTCACAGTGTCTTAAGTTTTGCTCTGTAGCTAACATCTTGAAAAAGTGTAGTCAAGTAATGCAAGGTCCCTTCAGGTCATCTCCTGTGTCAATTTTCCTAAGAAACATACGCTCTATCTCAGTGAAAATAACATCAGTACTACCGAAAGGACATTTCCATAGAGCTGGTATCTGTGTAAAAAAATACAAAGGCATTAACATTTATTAAATGGTTTGCTACCTTGTTTTATTCCTTCCAAAAAATTAAAGCAATACCTTCAAATCCAACTAGTTGATAAAATTCTTCAGTTTCTATTATGACTGTGCCTTTATAGAAATGTCTTATAAATATTGAACGATAGGTCTACAAAGGGTATGTTTTAAACTCTTGGGGATACTGTAAAGAAACAAACCTACCAACAACCCTTTGAGCTTCAAGGACAGGAAGTGGAACATTCACGTACAGGCACCACCCTGCTGCCCTCTGGAGAGTCATGTTATTATAACAGCAGACTGACTGGGCACACAAGAGTTAGATGATCCAAATTACCAGAGTCCTTAATATGCAGAGATTTTTGCTAAAATAAGGACCATATATACCCTCCCCCACCAAACAAACAAAACACCCCATCAATTTTAACTTTGTTCTACAAACAACTTTACCTCTTTTCCTCAATGCATGATTGACCTCTTTGAAATATACCCTGGAGAAAGTTCAATGTCATTCCATGTGGGGGAGATGAAATACTTCTTATATAAAAGTTCTCATTTCTCTTGGTCTGCATCTCTCTCTCAAGCATTTCCCCCTTTCTGTGAACACCAACACTTGCACAGGGTGTCATTTCTCAATCTGGAATCTGAGACAGGCATCATGGAAGCATCCACATGATCAAGGACATACCCAAAAGCCCAGTGAAAACTGGAGAGTTGTCCACATAAGGCTGCCCTGGTTGTCAGAAACAGACTTTCCACCAGAGCTTTACCAGGCTCATTAGGTTCCAAAGTAAATAAATTGTTACCCAATAAATTTTAAGTTTCTTTGGTGCATAAAAAAATAATTTTAACAAGGAATCACTGGGAATTAAAGTTATGAAGGGATTCATGGTGATTATGGTCACCTCTGTTCAAAAATAAGTCAGGCTTCACTGGCTGGTACAGACCATTTATTTGATGAAGATAAGAAAAATCAAAGAGCTGGATGAATTCACTTTTGTCAGCAGGTATCTAGGTATGTTTCCTATAGACGTTTAGAAATGTAAATGCTTACAGAAGTTACATTTTGCTTCCATTAATTCCTAATAAACACTTTTTGGGATCCATCATAAATGTATAATCAAAAGAAGTTATTGGTATGCATGTCACTTAATTTCCTCATGAGAACCTGTGTAAACATCTCAGAGTAATAAATGTGTCTTCTCTAAGGGGAATACATTGATCTCTCAGTAGGTATCTGGTGCTTTCTGAGATGAGAAATCAGAAATGCATAAAAGAGCTGACAGTGGCTCAGTCTTGTCGGACCCACGATGAAAAATGTCAAATCATCTGTTTCACTTGGTTACTAGATCAAGTTAAGATACAAAGAATATTCTGGTCATACTGTTATACCATCTTTTGAAAAGAATATGTCAAAACAAAACCACAAACAACTCCTTGAAGAGCCCCTAAGTATAATGTTCTGGAGCTTATACTGCATGTTAGTAAGTATACCAAATCACAGCAAAACAAACAAAAAATGTACAGTCATATTTCTCCTTCATGTGATCTTAGCAACTGTCATCCATTTGGAATAGAATACGAGACCGTGATCTTCTCAAACAGAGCCTCATCTTCCGCCCAGATTTACTGTTCAAGTGACCAGCCGCAGCCTCTCTGCTAGCTCTGATTGGGATTTACTTGTTTTAAAGTCTAATATTCCACATATTCATCCTATATGTATATTTTGTCATGCAATAAAAAAGCACTTTAGAGTAAACTCAACATGCAAACCAGAAGATCCTGAACGAAAAGATTTCACTCTCTTCACATTACCTAAGATCACTTCCATAGGACAAGGAGAATTCTCACTTAACATCAGTGAATCCAGATCTCAGATATTATAATACGGATAGGACACCTGAAACATTTGAATAATCACCATGTTCAATACTGAATCACTTAACAATTACTTTAGAAAACATGATGAGGCCTGCCTTGTGAAGTTTCTCCCGGAACCTTTCAAAACTGTCAAAAATGTTGAATTTCTGAACTCTTTTACATACAAATGAACCTCTTTGCATACTAAAAGCTTTGACATACTTTTTTCCAGTATACAAAACCTCTGACAACACTGCCTTGTTCACACACATACACACACACACACACACCCCCCTTGAACTTCAAGGCATTCCTTCCTGAACTAGCAGACACGCCACAGCTGCATACACTGGTACTTAAAAATATTCTTATTATAATCAACTTGAGATTTTCAGAGTCATTATGGATGCATATACCCTTTTGTACTGATGGCTACAAACCCCACCACGTGACATTAGTCACACATCGACATAAAGAAACAGGGAGGGAAACTCGGAGCTGTCAGGTCAGCACTCGGACGACCCAGGTGCGCGTACGTGGTGCTGAGAAGACTCACCTCTCCTTGTTTGGGGATGCTGAACTTGGACAGCTTGGCCTTGGCTCTCGCTGACTCTGCCTTGGCGGCCGGGACGCCCCTGTACAAGCAGTGCACGCCAGTCTCTGTAGACGACTTCAGCTTCGGAGACTCATCGGGCGCCTGATCTTGGCCGTCCATGGGCCGCACATAAGCGGTAGGCTTCTGCTGGACGAGGCTGGGTTTCGAAGCCAGGGAGGGAGGAAAGTTCTGCACGCAGTGGCCACTGCCGCCGTGCTTGGCCCCCATAGCGGGGGGCCTGTCCTGGGTCTGAAGACCCACCTCGACATTGCACACCTGTTTGGTCCGCGGCTGCTGTCTGCCAACGCCATCGCCAAGCAAGTTCCTGAGAGCGCCCTGTTGTGCTGAGTTGGAAGAAGAAGAAGAGGAAGATGAGGAGGAGGGGCTTGGCACACTGGGGCTGGGGCTTTTATTACGATTCTCTGGGTGAGCAGATCTGCTCAGATCAAGCGTCCTGTGTCCGTGCTTACTTGCTCTCTGTTGGACATCGGGCGGCGGGTGCCCAGCCTTCTGCCAGCCCACGGTGCCCCGCTTACTCTGCTGCCCGGGGACGGCTGCTGGAGCGGGTGTGGTGCTGCAGATGGGTGCTGGTTGAGTCTGGGTTCTTGAATCTGCCACAAAATGTTCATCAATCTTGGTCACGGGAGCCTGAGGAACCCCAGGTTTGGGAACACCCACAAGATGACTCTGGTTTGATCGATCCGTGAGAAAGTCTTTCATTTCATCGTAATTGCCTAAAGTGTTCTGGAGCCGGTTGGAGAGCTCATCCCCCTTGTTAGTCTAGAGAGAGAACACAACACCCACAGTTCTGTTAGAGATCACAGGAACACAGGGGGATGATGGAAGAACAGGCCCTTATCACTCAAAGAGACAGACCTGCCACATTCAGAACGAGAGCAGGAAGATTGGATCAGACTCGGTGCTTCTGAAGACATCTGTCTACTCTCTGCATCTCACCAGAGCTGGACCACTGCTACCGGCCTCAGCACTCGAGAGTGAAGCATCTCTCCATGGTCTTGTGCCGCAGCCAAGGAAACCAGGAAATTTACTATTGCCACGTCACCAAATGGTCTGGACTAAGGCTTTTCTTAGGAGTGGATTTCCTTTTCCTTTCTTTTTTTCATTCCACTGTACATTTTCCTTGAAAGTCCAGATTTGGCTCAAATTGTTTCACTTCCAATGTCTAAATATATAATTATTCTCATCAGAAACCCAGAGAGACAGACAGAAGGAGCCAGAGAGCACAGCACCATGTCCGTCACCCCGCCAGCAGTCCCTGGGCAGCAGACTAAGGGGGCACCAGGGTGCTCAATCTGCCCTCAGCCCCCGGCCTGAAATATGCTCACTTCCAAGCAGCCTGAGATATGAGTGAAATCTGGGAAGAGAATTTCATTTTGGAAGCGAGGTTGCACTTCTGGCCTTCAGCAGAAATAAGAAACAACCAACAGTTCTTTTCTTATGAACCATATCAAGTACCCTGCTCCTAGTACAAGCTACATGTGACAAATGTGTTACAAGTATGGAACCCAACCTCTGTTTAGTGTTTGCTTCCTAACAGTTTAGAAAACATAACAAACAGCACTGACTTTGCAAGTCAGTGCAGAGATGAAGTCAATTATGGATAAAAACCACAGCATGCAGACGTCCATCTTCAATAAAAGTTGTGCTTCACTGAGGGACCAGACAGTAAAGACACACGAAAGAGACACCAAAATTGTGGGGGCGGGGGCATAATTAGGGGCTGAGCTGTCTCAAGCTGGGTTGGCCAGCTCCTGTAGTCAAAACTGCCATTCCACGGGGTTAAGCAGGAGGAAAGAGGGGGTGAAGAAGAACAAGCGGAAACCACCTACCTTGTAGGGTTCACTGAAGAGGGAGTAACTCGAATTAAACGTGCCATCGTCCTGCTGAGTTTCCTGATTTCGTCTCTCTCGTTCTTTTCTCCGTAACACGTTTCTATCTGGTTCGTAGACACTGCATAAGGGAGAAAGAGGAGGATAACCACACACACAAATTAAATGTAATGACCAATGCAACATCCACCTGAGTGCAGAGGTCTGGTTCACTGTGAAATGATGATGGTGAAGGGGAACACGGACCAGATGAAAGCCAGCCTAATCAAGCAGCATGGTGAGGGTGTTTTAGAATTCCATTCTTCAGGAGGGAAGAAAAATCTTCAGGACAAGTTGCAACCAGTACTAGACCTTTCTCCTAACACGTGAAAGAGGGAGTACCTATACAACTTTGACAGGAAAAGACTGAAAATAATCTTAAAGCAGACGGTAATTACAGCAACGTGTAAATAGAAATTATGAGTGTATTTCCTCTTATGACATAGCCCCAGAATGTTATATGGGAATGTGTCTGCTCTTTTCTTTTCTCCTCCGCCTTTTTTTTGCATGGCTGTGTTTCTGTAGTGATTCTTTCATTAACTAGATCCCCAAAGAGCTGTTAAAACTCCATGCTGCAGTGGTTTTCATGGTTATGAGCCTTCTTCTGATCTCTGCTAATCAGTCAAGTCGTCAAACCCCTCCCGAATCTATCCTTCCTTCTGATATATTTGACACGATCACTCTTCCTCACCATGAAAAATGTGCAAAGAGGAAGGGATGCAGGCAACGACAGAGAGGACGGAAATTGAATCATGGTGTGTCATCAAGGAACTCGGGCTTTTTGTGCAAGAAAATTAATATCTATTCCCTCAAGATGTAATTACAGTGACCAGAAACCTGATAACTAGAAGGACTAAGGAAAAAAAATAGTGTTCCTTCCTCTTAGTGAGGGGAAAATAAAGGGGCTAATTCAACTAATAATAAGGAAGTGACTTGTTAAGTGATGGAAGGAAACAGACTTGTTTTTTCAGCTCAGTAGACAGAAATCTGGCTGCCGTGTAGACAACAGAACTACCCATTGTAAGGCACTACCACGTCCTCCAAACGAGTGCTGTGTGCATTTCCAGCAGTTAGTTTAAGTGACCTTGTCGTCATTTTGCTCAGACCTCCCTCTCAGTCTAGGAGACAGAGGCTGGACTTGGGAGCCAGGACGGCCACCTCCTCACCGCAATCCTGCCATAAACCAGTGATGTGATGACAGAAAAGCCATGCCATCACTCTCTCTGCAGCCCTCATTATAAAAAAGCACCTTCATGGTACTGTCACAAGGGTTAAATGCGAAGGAAATCTCCAAAAAGGGCTTTGTAATAGCTGCGGGTGCCCAAAATCCAAAGTGCTGCCTTCAAATGTTGTTATAATGAGAGGATTCGAGGGTTCAAAGAAGCAAAAAAATAAGTGAGGTTTGGGATATTTTTTTAGCTAAATTGCTATCTCGAGTAAAAGAGCATATGCACGTCATGTTGCTGTAAAGGATGCAAATAAAACGATCATAAAATAAATATTGCTTATCCTCCCAGCTCTGCCCGTGAGACCAGGATGTATTTTAAATTTGCTGTCAAAGGGGTGATGTTCAATGTGCTTCTGGCAAGACTTCGACAGCACCTAAGGCATTTCATTTAAATTTCAGATCAGGGAAGGTTAAAATACCCAGAACATGTAGCCTATTAGCATTTTAATTCATCCTTAGTACATTACCCAAAGTTATTCGGTTTGGGAGTCCAAGAAGTGACCTTCACGTAAGGGAGGCTGGGACCCTAGTCTTCCCACAGTGAGGCTCACCACTCCAACCCTATAGTTACTGGGGACTCCCCAGGGTGGCTTTGGTGACAGTGACGGGTATAAGGGAGGCACGAGATGGGAATGACACTCATTCACACAACGAGGTTTCAGATTCACAGGGGAGTGCAGACATCTGGGCCTGACTTCTGTGAACATACCATGGATTTCTGATGGAGGCTGCTCTGAGGACACACAACACATGCTATGGATGGGCATGAAGTGGGCTGGAGCCAAGAGAGGCATTGCAGGTTTCCAATGAACTGGCTCATTTCTGGACCAGCACTGGCATTCAGAAACATATGCCTGCATCACATGCACACATCCATGGGTGAAGCACCTACTGTGTGCCCCCCATGCACAGAGATTCCCATAGACATGCTTGCTGTCTTCAGCCAACTCAGGCTAACCAAACACACAAGACTGGTGGGATGCATGAAGTGGACTGATGTAACACAGAGCAGGCAGGTGGTCATTCAGGATGATTCCCCCGGCTTCTGCGGAACCCCCATACCCAGTATGATACCTCCTGCATCTGCTGGCTGACGACTGAAACTCCACAACTAGAGAGTCATTCCTCTGGTTTAGGATGTCTTCACCCCTGTAAGAAATGCAGATACCACAAGGAGGGAAAACACTTTACACCTGATCAGCTCCCAGCGCCTAAGTGCGCATACATTTGTCAGCTTTTCCCCAGAGGCCAGAGGAAAGGACACAGGACATCACGGTCCAAGAGGAGTCCAAACAGGACTTGTGATGCAATGAAAAGTTCAGGAACAATGCAGAGTATAGCAATGACGATACAGAAGTTACATTTCAAGGGATTCCCTGGTGGTCCAATGGTTAAGAATCTGCCTTGCAAGGCAGGGGACTCGGATTTAATCCCTGGTTGGTGAACTAAGATCCTACATGTCACAGAGCAAGTAACCCATGTGCCACAACTAGAGGGTCCACACACTGACACAAAAGATCACACACAATGCAATGACGACTCCGTCTGCTGCAACTAAGACCCGATGCAGCCAAATAAATAAATATTAGAAAAAAAAATTCCTAGAAGGGGGATTTGATGTTTGGCTAGCATTAAAAAAAAAAAAAAAGATACTTAAAAAAAAAAAAAAGAACCATACCTATTCTGCAGTGAGACTTGGACGTTTAAGAAAAAGGCATTATAAAGAAACAAAAGACCTATACATAGAAAGCTATAAAACACTGATGAAAGAAATCAAAGAGGACACAAACAGATGGAGAAACATACTGTGCTCATGGATTGGAACAATCAATATTGTCAAAATGGCTATACTAACCAAAGCAATCTATAGATTCAATGCAATCTCTATTAAGCTACCAATGGTATTTTTCACAGAACTAGAACAAATAACTTCACAATTTGTTTGGAAATACAAAAAACCTCGAACAGCCAAAGTAATCTTGAGAAAGAAGAATGGAACTGGAGGAATCAACCTGCCTGACTTCAGACTATACTACAAAGCCACAGTCATCAAGACAGTATGGTACTGGCACAAAGACAGAAATATAGATCAATGGAACAGAATAGAAAGCCCAGAGATAAATCCACGAACCTATGGACACCTTATCTTCGACAAAGGAGGCAAGGATATACAATGGAAGAAAGACAACCTCTTTAACAAGTGGTGCTGGGAAAACTGGTCAACCACTTGTAAAAGAATGAAACTAGAACACTTTCTAACACCATACACAAAAGTAAACTCAAAATGGATTAAAGATCTAAATGTAAGACCAGAAACTATAAAACTCCTAGAGGAGAACATAGGCAAAACACTCTCCGACATGAATCACAGCAGGATCCTCTATGACCCACCTCCCAGAATATTGGAAATAAAAGCAAAAATAAACAAATGGGACCTAATTAAACTTAAAAGCTTTTGCACAGCAAAGGAAACTATATGCAAGGTGAAAAGACAGCCCTCAGATTGGGAGAAAAGAATAGCAAATGAAGCAACAAAGGATTAATCTCAAAAATACACAAGCAACTCCTGAAGCTCAATTCCAGAAAAATAAATGACCCAATCAAAAAATGGGCCAAAGAACTAAACAGACATTTCTCCAAAGAAGACATACAGATGGCTAACAAACACATGAAAAGATGCTCAACATCACTCATTATCAGAGAAATGCAAATCAAAACCACAATGAGGTACCATTACACACCAGTCAGAATGGCTGCTATCCAAAAGTCTACAAGCAATAAATGCTGGAGAGGGTGTGGAGAAAAGGGAACCCTCTTACACTGTTGGTGGGAATGCAAACTAGTAAAGCCACTATGGAGAACAGTGTGGAGATTTCTTAAAAAACTGGAAATAGAACTGCCATATGACCCAGCAATACCACTTCTAGGCATACACACTGAGGAAACCAGATCTGAAAGAGACACGTGCACCCCAATGTTCATCGCAGCACTGTTTATAATAGCCAGGACATGGAAGCAACCTAGATGCCCATCAGCAGACGGATGAATAAGGAAGCTGTGGTACATATACACCATGGAATATTACTCAGCCATTAAAAAGAATTCATTTGAATCAGTTCTAATGAGATGGATGAAACTGGAGCCCATTATACAGAGTGAAGTAAGCCAGAAAGATAAAGAACATTACAGCATACTAACACATATATATGGGATTTAGAAAGATGGTAATGATAACCCTATATGCAAAACAGAAAAAGAGACACAGATGTACAGAACAGAATTTTGGACTCTGTGGGAGAAGGTGAGGGTGGGATGTTTCGAGAGAACAGCATCGAAACATGTATATTATCTATGGTGAAACAGATCACCAGCCCAGGTTGGATGCATGAGACAAGTGCTTGGACTTTGTGCACTGGGAAGACCCAGAGGGATCGGGTGGAGAGGGAGGTGGGAGGGGGGATCGGGATGGGGAATACATGTAACTCCATGGCTGATTCATGTCAATGTATGACAAAACCCACTACAATACTGTAAAGTAATTAGCCTCCAACTAATAAAAATAAATGAAAAAAAAAAGCCAACATGAAAAAAAAAAAGAAAAAGGCATTAAAGGGACTTCTCTAGTGGTCCAGTGGCTAAGACTCTGCACTCCCAATGCTAAGACTCCTGAACTCCCAGGTTCAATCCCTGGTCAGGGAACTAGATCCCACAGGCCACAATGAAGAGTCTGCATGCCGAAACTAAAGATGCAGCAAAATAAATTAATTTAAAAAAAGAACAAAAAGGCATTAGGATACAAGCCACATCAATGAAGCAGGTATCCGACTGGCTGCATTTTTGGGCTCAAGGGTCAC